GGACGGGCAGGGGTGGGCGAAGACGGCCGCCGATGCCGACGGGTGGCGTTCTCTCCTTTTCTCTCTCTCGCCGTGTTGCCCCTTGCTGCCCGTGTCTTGTGAGTGCCGCCCGGCGCGCGCGGGCCGCCTGTGGTCCAGCTGCCGACGTGCCCCCGCCGCGCTGTACTCACGAGACGCGCGCTGCCGCATAGACTGTTTTTTGATTTGTTGGGTTAGATCCTTGAATACCAATTGCCCGCCCTTGTGGGGCGTTCTGTTTTGGGTCTGTCTACGCGCTGCGCGGCCCAATGCCCGGCTCCCTCCATGTCGTTTCACTCGTTTTTTCTTTATCCCCCATTTTCCCCCCTGAACGTTGNTTGAATACCAATTGCCCGCCCTTGTGGGGCGTTCTGTTTTGGGTCTGTCTACGCGCTGCGCGGCCCAATGCCCGGCTCCCTCCATGTCGTTTCACTCGTTTTTTCTTTATCCCCCATTTTCCCCCCTGAACGTTGTACTGTGCCATTCGAGGAAAAGACAAAGACACACCTCGCTAGGAAGCTTTTCTATCGGCCGTAGAGCGGCGTGATGCTTGGCTTTAATTCCGCCTTGCGGTAAGTGTGGTCCCATCGCTGTGTGAACCCCGCTGGGCTGCCAGAGGCCTCGTCTGCGTCCGAGCCGCCGCTGCGGGGTGACGTTATTGGGGCGGTGCGTGCCACCAAGTGCCTTGCCAGGGCGTACTGGGCGGGAGTGGTGCTCGAGGGGGCGCAGACTGCCTGCCCCTTCCGATGCGCACCAACCCTGTTGCACTTGCGTGAATGCGTGGCGCCGGCGTGTGAAGGTGCGAGACTCAGCGGTGCGGCGCTCACCATGATGAGCGCCGCCCCCAACTATTGGCACTACCAGGGCTGCCGCGGCCAAGAAGGAGCAGCCGCTGTGCGATGGTAGGGGGTGGGCATGGCGGCATGGGACCTGGCTGTGTGCACAGCCCCGGTTTGATTATTTGTATTCCTCTCTCGTCGCTCATTGTGCGTGGCGCGCCGCGCACGGTGCGACGGGTGTGAGTGCAGGGTGGGGTGTGTGGTGCCGGCGAAGGCCCTTTGGGCTTGTGCTGCGGCTGCCGTNGGTCCGAAATCTGGCCTGTGGCGCGACATCGCGAAACGTACGGGTGGACATGGTTAGGCACAGGCGCCACAGCTTCGCAATGAGACAAAATTAGGCCCGCAGGCACCTAGCCCACGGAAAAGGCAGTGTCACCTGTTCTTGCGGAAGCGCTCCGCGACCTCACGCCGGAAGCTTTGAGATATTTGGATGCACTAGCAGGGGCGGCGCGAGAAGAAACGGCGGCAGTCGCACATACCTGCGGCCAAAACCGCGGGTGGATTCGGCGGCAGCCGCTGCTGAGTTACGTGGGTATGAAAGCTACTAAAGCGCCCTCCCGCTACACGTGCGGCTGGCGGTGCGCGTTTCCAAGCGGGCCAAAGGGCTACCCCACGGAGCCCTGCATCACTCTTGGAAGGTGGTGCCTTCGGCTGCGGTGAGGGCGCGTCGCGCCTGTTGCCGCTGGCGCTGCGTGGGGGATGATTGGTATTCGACGTGTGTGGCTTTATTGCTTACCCTGCTTTGCCTTGATGCGCTGTGTTGCTGCTGTCGCCGGCTGCTGGGCGCCGCGCTGCTTCTTCATCCGCTTCTTCCCGCTGCTGCGACGTGCGAAGGGAGTCAAGAACCCTTATTCTAAAGCAACAGCAAGCAATCATGTCCCGGACCAAGGAGACTGCCAGGAGCAAGCGCACGATCACGACGAAGAAGAGCAAGAAGGCGCCCAAGGCTGCCGGTGCGGCCCCCGGCGTGAAGCACGCGCAGCGCCGCTGGCGCCCGGGCACCGTGGCGCTTCGCGAGATCCGCCAGTTCCAGCGCTCCACTGATCTTCTCCTGCAGAAGGCGCCGTTCCAGCGGCTTGTGCGTGAGGTGTCGGGCGCGCAGAAGGAAGGCCTGCGCTTCCAG